GACCCAGGGGCAGGACCTTGCACTTGGCCTTGTTGACCCTTATGAGGTTCACACAGGCCCACCTCTCCAGCCTGTCCAGGTCTCTCTGGATGACATCCCATCCTTCTGGTGTGTCAACCGCACCACTCAGTTTGGTGTCATCCACAAATTTGCTGAGGGTGCACTCAATCTCACTAAGTCATTGATGAAAACGTTAAACAGCACCGGTCCTAGTACAGACCCCCGAGGGACACCACTCGTCACCGGTCTCCATCCGGACATCGAGCCATTGACCACTACCCTCTGGATGCGACCATCCAGCCAGTTCCTTATCCACCGAACAGTCCATCCATCAAATCCATATATAGTAATATGATGCTATTTTAACATCCAATGTAATTTTATTTACAGTTTCATAAATTATAGAAGAAAAACCACCAACACTTGTCCTGTTTGGGGAATTTTTGCGTTTACTCTTGGTTTATTCTTGATTTAGTGGTGGGATGGCAGGGTTAGGGTAATGGTTGGGCTTGATGATCTGAAAGGTCTTTCCCAACCTAAATGATTCTATGATTCTATTCTACTCGTTTACTCCGTTGTTGTTATTATTATTATTAGCGAAAGGAATCTAGCTCCACATGGTTACAGGGACCTAACTGCATTAAGGCAACTGCAGGAACAGGACCTATGGTTTTGATCATATTTTCCAGGCAGTTAAGACCACATTCAGTTTTAAACAAAAAATACTTCAGCAGTCAAAAAGAGTTTCTGTGGTTTCCTGAGCTCCTTACCAGTCGGTATAATCACAAGATTTATAAAACTGTACTTACTAAAATTAATCTTAAAAAAAAAATAAAAATAAAAAAATCAATAAATAAATGTGGGTTAAATACCACAAAGGAAAATAGCCCATAAATGGACCGTACAGTCACGCTTCTTGTCAGAACAGTACACACACTACACAGCAGCAGAGAGAAAAACAGATTGACCTAAAATACATCAAATCCTGTTTTTTTTTCATACTTTACCTAAATGATGCGGGGGGAAAAAAAGTAATCCTGCTGTTAACTGCTAAAATTTGATAAATATTTGCAGTGAGTAAGAGTTCCATTCCAGTCGTGTAACTGGCACTAGATATTCACATTTTACAGATATACCTATACAGCTTTCCTGACTCCATTCATTTTGCCCTGTGATACCCTCTCAGCCTTTAGATGTGGAGTTAATATTTAAGAAAGTACGAGACTGATTTCTTACTTAATATGGCAGGTGTTGAATAGTAACTTGGTCGTTCATACCTGGAAACATCCATTTCAATAATTCAGAAAGATGGGTGAGAGGAAGTGATTTATCAGTATGATTTTGAATCCTTTTACTACAAAACAGGGCACTAACTACACTTCTCCCCCATCATGGGACCTGTAGGAACCCACTACGCATATATCCATTCCCCAACAGTCCACAAAACAAAATGCAATGCTCACATTTGTATTTTGATATCCACATCCCTCTGTAAAGTTTTTTTGGAATGCCACAGATAAAGCAGATCAAGGAGAAAACTATTTTTTTTTAAAGTATAACAGAACATGGTTTTTCCATTGATAAGGAATCCTTTCCATAAAGAATACTTAAGAGTTGGTATCAGAGTTAGAATCATAGAATAGAATCATACAATCACTTTGGTTGGAAAAGACCTTTGAGATCATCGAGTCCAACCTTTAACCTAACCTGCCATCCCACCACGAAACCATGTCCCTAAGCACCTCATCTATTCTTCTTTTAAATACCTCCAGGGATGAGGACTTGACCACCTCCCTGGG